TGTGGCCATTAGGGCTGGAGATAAGGTTTGTTTGAAAAAGGGCCTGTGCTGCTACAAACAGCTCTCCAAGGCAGGGAACAGCATCCGCATGACATGTGTGGCCAAAACTCTGCAATGCCCTTGAGGGGACAGTCTCAGTGCTGTTTGCACACTGTCTGGTACTGTGCGCACGCAGTGACGTCCAGCAGCTGCTGGCTGGGAGCCCAGGAGGCCAGGCACTCGTGCAGCCTCACAGCCGGCGGACACTGACCACAGTGGAAGCCAGGAGGGTCCACAGGACTCCATCCACTCCTCTTTCTACTCTGGTGTGCCTCTGAAACTTTTTCTATTAAATAGTTTGAAAATGGTCAAATATATCAGTACTTTTTCTTGACTACTGGAAGACATGGTGCACCCGCAGGGTCCTTGACAATTCAGGCACGTGGCCCCTTCACCCCGCCGTGACAGCCTCCTCTCCAGAGGCCTCAGTCCTTTCCCAGCCAGCCATAGATGGATGAGCTTGCTCGTGCTGTGAGGACAGCTCTGGGCCCACCCTGAGCACAGATACGGCGACAAGGACAATGGGGCCCTGGCCGCTGAAAAGTGACCGTGGAGAGGAGGAAATGTAGCTCACATATCCGGGATCCAGGCCCTGTGTCTTGAGTTGGGTGGTCAGGAAAAAAGGGCATCTCTAATGATGGGAAGAACTCAGAGGAAAGGAAGATGGGTGAGTCCCTAGCAGAGGGCATGGTCTGGTCACACACCTAGAGATAAACTGGCATAAAGGGGGCTTCATGAGGGTGTGCTGTGCCTGGACCATGGAGTGAATAAGCTATTGCCCCCAGCAGGAAGGCCAGAATGGGACTTGGGAGAAAACCACGGGTGGCTGCCTGTAGAGTCCAGGACTCAGTCGCTATGGGATCATGAACTGCGCTTTCAGACATCAGTAGAGGCACAGGCAAACATGGGGGTCTAGACTTAGATTCCTCCCTGTTCCCCATCCCCAGAGTCTCACTTAGTACCTGGTCCTGGCCCTGGAAGCAGAGCCCGCGACTCCCAGCTCACTGCAGTGCTGACTGCTACTGCTGAGCATGGAGGGTCTCAACCCCAAACCAGGGAAGAGAAAGTAACATTGCAACCCACAGAGACAGAATCTTCTGACCCTGGAGTCTAGCTGTTGGCATCCTGAGAGAGAAGAACAGGGTGACCAGCCATCAAGGAAACCCAAAAAGACTAACCCTCAACAGGACACATGCTCATCAAAATTAAACTCTGCATACAGATAATGATGAAGGATTAGAGGGGGGGAAATCCACTACGCTGCTGCAGGGAGAAAACCATGCATGTGGGCTCTTGAGGTCTGTAATAACAAGGTCTCGTGTGCAGCAGGTCCCATTCTCACTGAGCTCACATCATCCTTGAAAGACAGTGAGAGGAGATGAAATGATCTTAATTGTTCTCACCACAAAAAGGAACTCATGACTATGTAACGTGATGAAGGTGTTAGCTAACACTACAGTGGTAACCATATATGTGTAGCAAACTGACACAATGGATGCAATAAACTTATACAATGTTATATGGCAACCACATCTAAATAAAAATAATAAAATAAAAAATATTGGAAGGAAAAAGGCAATAAAGAAGAAAGAGGAAGCCCATTTATCTCAAAAGACAGTGTTTCCTAAGGTGACATTTATTTTAAATCTCTTTAGAAATTAAAAAAAGTATGTCTAGATTTCAGAGGGAAAGAAGTCTTTTTCTTAGAAAATAAAAATTCTGGTTCAAAAGAAAGTGCTAAGTCCCCTTTCTG